AAGACTGAAAAAATGATCGTTTTTGATGAAAAATAAAATTGTTGCTTAGATCATACACTTGCTGATTTTGCAATCCGTGGATCGGTAGGTTATTGTACCATCCAATAGTGTTGACCAGTCTTTTGCTTGTTGACGCAAATAGCAATAAACCCCTCACTAGAAAACAATAATAAAAAAAAAATCCCCAGGACATGAAACAGACAAAAAATGTTACTTGGGCAGGCCTAATACCCAAATACAGTATTAAATGAAAAAAAAACCTTAATTGGTAAAAAATTTTATATACTGAATACCTGAAGGTTTTTTTAGATAATTTGGTGATTGTCTTTAGAAGAGGTTTGGACAACGGGGAATTTTTTCTTGTATCACAAAACTCCCATCATAATAAAAACAGGGAGTAATATGCACCATCACCTCTCACTTTTGACATAAAAGCATTTCCAAGTTAATAGATTAATGATGATAAATCTTTCTTAATTCTGATTGATGATGTGGTCTTCTAGAATTATGAGGGTGGAACATCCAATACTGTGATATTTTACATTAAAGGAATTTAAATGTTTGTGTCTATATTGAAGATTAATTTAACATTCTCTCTGAAATGTTCACTCTCTGTATTACAGTATCTGATTCTTACTAGTACCATGATTCAAAATGCTAAACTTTGAAATTACCTACTGTATACATTATGTTCCAAAATGATTAAAAAGGAATGCAAAAGAACTGCTTACATTTTAGTTGGGGACAGTGGGGGGTTTTCAGAATAGGTTTATAAAAATGGTGCTTTTGTACCACATAGGAACTGCTATCTGAAGGCAGTAAACTTGTTGGATCGGCAAATTAATATAATCCAACAACCTCAAATGGTATCCAATCTCAGATGGGGTGTGCTGGTGACAGCACTAGATATTCTCCAACAAGGCAATACATTTTCTTGATGGGGTTCCAAGTTTCTTGACAGGGGGTCCAAGTTTCTCAACAAGATAAGTCCCTGACAGGGGTCAGCATCCAACTCAGCTCCACCATGGTGGGAGAAAATTTTAAGAATATGAACTGTCTGGAAATAGACAGCAATAATGTTTTTCAAAGCATGGTTTCAGGTTGACAAAATGATTGACTTTTAGTATTTCCTAATGGAGTACAACTGTTAACCTTTATCCCCCTTCCCTGCCCCCTCCTCCATCTCCACTGGCATTACCAGTGGTTCATGTCATTCTGACACTAGTTATTTACTTGCAAATTAGTGTACATAGTTGTTGTTGAATGTTGCCTGTTAGTGCAGACTGGTTTAGTGTTCCACTTTACAGTATGATAATGCTGAATTCATAAAGCATATTCAGTGGAGCCAGACGAGTGTATTTCTGCATCTCTACAATAGGTGATTTTGAAATGGTCTATTAAACGAGGTTGATAGAAGTATATAATTGAAATGCATTCTTGAAATGAAGATGTTCAAGTCATTAAATAATTTTGTTATCAGTACTTAAATTGTAATAATAATATAATATTTATTGGATTCACTTTTGCATCAGTGGCACACATCAGACAATACATGATGGTGCATAGTGAAACTGAAAATCTTCATTAGCATCTCAATTTAAATTTTTGTGCTCAACATTTTGAGTGTTACAGTATGTCATCTGTGGTTTAAGATTAATAATATAAATTTTTCATCTATATGTAACTAAATTTTAACACACTAAAACTTCATTTTCTGTCACCATTCATGTGGTGTTTTGCAGTAACTTACAGTAGTGCCAGGGACGCGAGTTTACGTCTGATAGGGTTTACTCCTCAGGGCACCAAGGACAGGAGCTCACATCCACACCTGACTAAACATACCAAGCTGTTTTATTGCACAACATTAAACTTGCTGGCAGTGATCCGATTGGGAGGGGGTGGGGGGGGGAGTGCCCTTAGAGTAACTCCACCCTCCTACTTTATTGTCAAATTTTATGTTGAAATTTGTTAATACTAAAAAAAGAAATCTTTTCATGAACATGCAAACTAAATAATTTCTTATTTTCTCTCTAAGAAATAATACTCTATCCCTAATTTTCACATTAAAAGTATTGATTATTTGAGCTTTTTTTTTATGAATAATGTTTTTTTTATCATGAATGTCACCGTAGATGCAAAATCTCATTGCGAAGGAAATATGAATATGAAATTGATTTTCAATAATAATGGAATGGAAGTATTGAGCATTCATTTCCAAGCTGGAATCATCCAACCAGATCTAATTCAATTGGACAAAGTCTGTCTGCCTGCTATGTGATGTTAACATTATTTAATCATGGTTGGTTAGTATTCAGCTTGAGATTCCCTACAGTTAGTAATTAGTTAATTAATTAATAATTAATTAATTAAATAATTAAATTAATTAAATGTTTTGTAAACCATAATCTCATAATTAGTGTCCAGTCAGAATTATTATTGTTGTTGTCATTATTTTGAGTACACTGTAGTACACAGTGACATGCCATTGTTAAAAGTTGGTTATTGAAGAATGTACCATAGATGGAGTCTTTAGCATTCATCATAATGGGGCTTGTCATGCCAAAGACAGCATCAGTGATGAAAACAATACAGGTATCCTCCATATTCATTCAACACAAGTAGTTAATTATTATGAGAATAACCACATTGTCGGTATCTTCATCCTCGTTATTCTATATCATCATCATTATGATATTCATAAATACAACATCATCATCATGATCACCATCATCATATCAATATCATCATCATCATCATCATCATCTTTTTCATCATTTTCTTATAAAATCATTCTTATATTGTTTTTCTTTGGTTACAAATATTTAAGACTTAAAAGTTAGTGTGACACCTACAGATATAAACTCTTGCGCAAATAGAAATATTCATCAGTTTCTTCTCATCCTCGTCCTCATTCTCACCATTCTCCTTCTCCACCTCCTACTCATTCTCTTAATAATCACCATCATCATCATTGTCAACAGCATGTTTGTGAACATTTTGTCAAATATTGTAATAATGTTTTACTTATAAAAGTCTGTGTACCAATAAAGTTTACCTTCAAAGATCATCCCTTCTATTCTACTGTAATTTTGTATGCCTTTCAGAATGAAAGGTCGTCCCTTCAATACTGCTGTAAATATGGTATTATACATTTGTAAAGAATATCTGGAGTCCCCAGGCTATCACCTCCAATTTCATCTCTACTAAATTTCTTAGTAATACTGTACACAACAAACAACCTTTCCTGTTGTGTTAAGAAGAATAATATTTGAATATTAAAATTGATTAATATTGGATTATTTACTGGTTGTAAGAATTTAATTTGGTGACTACACCAAACACCTAATTGAGAAACATTTGTAATCTTGAAATGTGGCAGCCCAGCTTTAGGCCTGTACAGTAATTTTGATTAGCTAAAACACAAAATAACACCTACATCGGTTTCCGGTAAAATATTTCGTGAATTTTAATAATTATTATTCTTGGAAATGTATCATATCCTACTATCTCTATACACAAAAATTCATACACATTATGGTCTTTTATTTGATGGTATATCATGGGGTCTCTAATAGTACACAGTGGCTTATTTTGGGGGAAGGGGGGTGAACCAGCTGGGGGATCCTTCCACCCTTTTGGAAAAAAAAAAAAAAAAGAAAGAAAGAAATAAAAATAAATTCTTGATAGCCCAAAACACCTCAGTGGTTATTTCTGGGTGCCTAGAAAGCAAAAATTAGGGTGATGTTGTCTCTCGGTCGCCCCTGCCCCTTCCCCTTTTAGGCATCTCTGGGTCCGCTTCTGGTACAATAGCGATAGAATGCAAAACTTAGGGATTTCTTTCAGCTTTCTGTTGGGAAAGATATGGAGAAATTGTAATTTGAATATTTTATTTAACAAAAAACTGTTGGTAGATCTGTATTGTCCGTGAAAACTGCATTGTCTTCATCTGTGTCTCATTGAAATCTCTATATTCCTTGCTTTTACAGGAAATGACCAATTTCTGGTTTACAAAAGTTGAATTTTTGTGGAATTTTCAGAGTTTAGTTTTTTTACCACAGATACAGTATATTCCTACAATTTGTGTCTTTCTGTAGACATGATTTTATCAAAAGATGGACGTCTTCATTATTAATTTATTGTGCACGAATATGCAAAAGAATGCGCATCGCCGCATTTTGATGTAGAGATGACAAAAATATTTTATAATTTTTCATGACGACGTGTAACCGCATTCATCATCCTCTTCAGATGCATTTGATCATTTCAAGTCTCGCTTTAGCTTTGGTAATGAGTTAGTCTCAAATTCTATTTTTATATTTCAAAGATAGTTTAAAGTGTTTCAATTTTGCATTATTTTCAACAATGTAAATTATATAAATAAACTAAAAATATCTTCTAAAATTCCTATCATAAAAAGATAATTTATCAACAAGGCTATTGATTGTGTACTGCTTATAGCTGGACATACTCATAGTATGCCTGTTGCTTTAGTATTCACATATATTATGCTTGATAAAAATTATTAATCAATACAAATACATGTGAAGAAAATTAAAATTGATTTTGAATAAAAAATAGTTAAAATATGCTTTGAATGGTTTTATGAGCATCCCTTAAAATATTTAATATTTTTGCGAGTCAAGTGGCCAAGCTAAAGGTATACAGCCTTAACATTGGTGCTGGTTCCAGCCAGTCCTCGCCCAGGGTTCGGTTGGTAGGACTAAGTCTTCTCCATTAAGAACCATAAATAGAGGTCTTGTGTGCAATTTAAAGAACCCATTGCATCTTTTGGAAGAGTACGGTTATCCTGATTCTATGGTACATTTTATCCCTAGTTTTGGAATGAGCATGTAGTCTACTATATAAGTGCCTCTTTAAGCCATACGTCCTAATTCAGCACAATGACACTGTGAGTTAATATTTATCCTCCTACTTCTACCTTTAGCTTTAAAAATAGTTGAAGTGTCAAAAAATTATAATAATTTTTATTTAACTTCTAGGAACTTGTAATGCTCCTTTGGGAATGAAGTCTGGTCTTATATATAATTCAATGGTCACAGCATCTTCATCACTATCATCGTTACGGGGACCGGAGTATGGACGACTTCATTGGACAGACGGTAATGCATCTTCTTAATGAGTATAGTGGAAATATTGAACGTAGCCAACTGGTGAAGTATTATTTATAGCCATATTTTGATTGGCTTTTTATGATGTTTTTCTTAGCACTTCATCGTTATTTGGATTATATTGTGTCATAATGTATGTTTAATGTGTAATTAGTATTTTGTAAAATATTTCCTAGCGTAAAAATAAATCCAATTTCCAATTCAGATCCACTGATTACCATATTTTTTTCATGAAATTATTGTATTATCATAATTTTATTTCCAAGCACACTTTCTAATTACAAGATCAAATGAAACTCCACTTGAGAAATTGTAATTCCTTGTATAGTGCATGATGTGATCTACGGTATGCATTGATGCTTCCTTATTAATTAATATTAAATTTACACTGACACTTAATAATGTAATTATTATTTTTATATATTTTTGTTTCTTATATAAATTTTATTGTTTATACTATAGAGAACTATTTAAATAGTCAAAAAAAATTTTGTTTTGAAAATAATTTTTAAAAATGGGGGTAAAATATTGCATTCAAGAAAGTATAATACACGCTCCAAGTATTGAAATACACGCCATCGTGTTGGGATTCACATATTGGGATTGTATTTCAATACTTGGAGTATGTATTATACTTTCTTATCTGAGATTAATCAGTGGACCTTTCGGATATTGCATTCAATTATTATTTTTATATATTTCCTGTTTCTTATTTAACTTTAAGTGTTTATAGAGCACTAACTATAAATGCTGGTCAAAAAATTATGTTTTTAAGTTTTGAAAATGAAAAAAATTGGGGGTTGGTGTGGTGTAAAATTTTGCTTTTAAATTTGAAGTTTGAAAGTGCCATTTCCTGCTACTTGAAGGTGTTTTAGATATAAAATGTTGTACCTACCCATCCATAATGGGGCAAAGGTTGTGTGAGCCCTCTACGGTACCAGTATTTGTAAAGTTCCATCCCCTGGCCCCCTATTTCTCTTTCTTGTGATCTGCTACTTCATAAGTCCATTAATCTGGGAAAACTCTGATAGTAGTTTTTATAGTAATTTAATATCAGTATTAATATCTTATTTGGATCTGTACTTCATACATAGGAAGTTGATACTTTATTTGATCCTTTTGGAGGAGCTACAGTATTCAATACTTTAATTAAATTGTTGAATTTTTCTGTAATTAACCTTTTTGTGTACTTTATACAATACAGTATGCTTTTTATAGTACAACAAGGCAGTAATCTCTAGAATGATACAAAAACGTTTTATTTACTGATTGTCCAACACACTAAAGTGTCTACTGTTGCATGATTCTATTGATTGATAAATGAAATTTAATTTCTTTTTCCTTTTGTTAAACATTATTGTAATTTGACTATCAATGCTATCTACCTATTGTGTTTAAATAACAGACCAAATATATAATGAAATATAAAGCTATTATCCTTAACTGTATTCCTTATCATGAGTCACTATGGCTAAAAATAAATTTATCCCTAATGGTAGACTACCTACCGCAATGCAAAATAAATCAATAAGTTTGTATAGATTACAGGTAATCAAATGTAATTGATATTGATTTGTTTTCTAGGTGAGGGAGGCTGGACAGCTGCAACGCACGACACCAACCAGTACTTGACGATAGACGTAGGTGCTGTTGCAAAAATTACCAAAGTGGCCTCGCAGGGTCGCCACGACAGCCGGGAGTGGGTAACGGAGTACAAACTGCAGTACAGTAACAGCAGCGATGACAACACATTCCAGACCTATGCTCAAAACGGGGTTCAACGGGTAATATTATACAACAAACGTTCTCTGATTACAGTGTCAAGGATCATGAAACAAATGCATTTAATTAAACATTTTTACAGTTGTCAATATCTGTAAGAAATAATAATAATGTCTGTATACTTAATACAAGAAACTGTATCAAGTTTATATAGTTTCTTAATATATATACTTCATACCCATATTGGATACATTAGGTTTATTAGAGCAGCTGGTGAATGTTACGATGGGTGGTTGTTGGAGATGTATCTAGTTTTCTCTTTTAAATTCATCGCTCTAATCCCTGTGCCCTAATTTTCTATAGTCATCATTGAAATTTATGAAATTGAATGGAACAAACCATTATGGTATGAGGTTGAGGGTAATGTCTCTATGAAATTAATATACTTAAAAATATAACTTGTATTTTAATAAGTAGTACTTTGATAGTTACTGTAGACTAAAGATATTAGAACCAAAAAAAATGAAAAGAACTTTTATTGGTCTTGTAAAAGCAAAAGTATAGTACATGAACTATTTTGTAGTTGGTTAACCATTAAAAGATCACTATAAACAGTACAATTAAAAGGAAAACAACAATATGCATTAGTATTAATTAAAAGATAAACAATGTACATTAAAGTTTGTTTTAAAAAATGGGTGAATATTGTAAACATTCTGTAAATATTATGCATGTTTTAATAGTCGAAAGAAATCATTTAGTATAGGAAAAAGTATAAAATTAATTACTAGTAAATGCATTGTTCAGGTGAACATTATTTGGTATGGAAAATATAATGGAGGAGTGGAGTTGAGATGCTTGGTGGTTAAGATGCTTGCCTTCCTGGGTTGTGGGTTCAATTCCTGTCATGGTAATAGGATTTGTTTCTCGCAACCAAGAACAACTCCACTCCCTAAGCCTCATAAATGAGATTTAGTTTATGTAGAGCATCTTGTGTTTATGTTTGTTGCGTGAAGGCATATGCCACTTAAAAAAGAGATTAAGTTCGCTGTTTGGCTTATCCTTGGTCTTGATCCTAAAACAATTGATAATAATGAAAATAATTTGTTAAGATACTTGTAAAAAAATAGTTATAATTGCACTAATTAACAGGTTTAATATAGTTCCTGTTCCTTGCATAATGTATTGTAATTAATTAAGCAATTAAATGTTAATTTTTTTTTTTTTACACTTATACAAAAGCAGTAATTCCATGTATGAAGCGCAAGTTGTATTCAGGAATATTATATGGTCGAGGGTGAAAAATCGAATGTCCTTGACTTTGTCCTTTGACCTTTTCTTCTGAAAATTGAGTAGTGTCTTTCTTTGATTATTATGTATCATTCTACTGAATTTTATGATGATCCATTCATTAGTTTTTGCGTAATCTTACTAACAGACGGTGAATACTTAACCTCCTTTGGCGGTGGTAAAAATAGACTGGTAATTGTCTTTTGAGAGAATAATCAGTTGTGGATACATTGACTTTAAGGACAGAGTTTGTCGGTGTAGTTGTATTTAATCTTCTCCAATAATTTCTAGTCTAAAAACATTTACAGTGATAGTGCAATCATATTTAATTTATGTATGTAATTGATTATAATAATGTTTTGATAAATTTTATATTTGATTAAGAAAGATTCTTCACACTATGATATGCTACAAATGCAGACAGACTTGTCTTTACCAAAGCTAGAAAATTTGAAATCAACTTATTAATATTAACATCATAGTAAAGACTCAGGCTTGTGTTGAATTCCAAACTTTTTATGCTATTTTTGACATGCTGTACTGCAGAATAAATATTTTACACATCAAAATCTACAATAATAAAATGTATTATACTACATAAATTTTAATTTATATCACAACCAAGAACTCCACTCCCTAAGCCTCATAAATGAGATTTAGTTTATATAGAGTATCTTGTGTTTATGTTTGTCGCGTGAAGGCATGTGCCACTTAAAAAAGAGATTAAGTTAGCTGTTTGGCTTATCCTTGGTCTTGATCCTAAAACAATTGATAATAATGAAAATAATTTGTTAAGATACTTGTAAAAAAATTGTTATAATTGCACTAATTAACATGTTTAATATAGTTCCTGTTCCTTGCATAATGTATTGTAATTAATTAAGCAATTAAATGTTAATTTTTTTTTTTTACACTTATACAAAAGCAGTAATTCCATGTATGAAGCGCAAGTTGTATTTAGGAATATTATACGGTCAAGGGTGAAAAATCGAATGTCCTTGACTTTGTCCTTTGACCTTTTCTTCTGAAAATTGAGTAGTGTTTTTCTTTTTCTTTGATTATTATGTATCATTCTACTGAATTTTATGATGATCCATTCATTAGTTTTTGCGTAATCTTACTAACAGATGGTGAATACTTAACCTCCTTTGGCGGTGGTAAAAATAGACTGGTAATTGTCTTTTGAGAGAATAATCAGTTGTGGATACATTGACTTTAAGGACAGAGTTTGTCGGTGTAGTTGTATTTAATCTTCTCCAATAATTTCTAGTCTAAAAACATTTACAGTGATAGTGCAATCATATTTAATTTATGTATGTAATTGATTATAATAATGTTTTGATAAATTTTATATTTGATTAAGAAAGATTCTTCACACTATGATATGCTACAAATGCAGACAGACTTGTCTTTACCAAAGCTAGAAAATTTGAAATCAACTTATTAATATTAACATCATAGTAAAGACTCAGGCTTGTGTTGAATTCCAAACTTTTTATGCTATTTTTGACATGCTGTACTGCAGAATAAATATTTTACACATCAAAATCTACAATAATAAAATTTATTATACTACATAAATTTTAATTTATATGATTTCCTTTATTTTGATTTTGTGGATGGTAATATTTCATAAATATCATAAGAGTTTATTCAGGTTTAAGGTGTTACATTGAATGAGGCTTTTCAGTATAGGCATAAATTTGTGCTTGTAACCTAGACCTAGTTTTAATGCTTACAGCAAGATATAGTCAGCAATTGCATCTTAGCATCCATATTTTAAAGTTATTGACATCTAGATTTATCCTCTGTGCAATAATTTCTACCTCATATCCTTGTGATATCAATTATTTATAACCTATTACTTTGCAATGTATATGCTTCAGATTAAATGATGAAATTTATTGCAACCGTATTGTACTGCTTAGGTTGATTAGTATAAATTTTAAATAAAATATTTAAAGCAATGAAAGACATTTATGTAATGGGTTTTTTAGTTTAATAGTTCCAAATATATTTGGTCCCTTTTTAGGTCAATCAGTCAATCAATCATTAGTGTTCTGCTAGAAGGCAGGTCCCTCAAGAAGTTCTATTCCAGTATTCTCAGTCTTTTGCATCCCTCTTCAACTCGTTGAAACTTTTTCCATTCCGTATGTCATCAAGCAGCATTATTCTTTTCCTTCCACTTGGTCTTTTTTTTTTTACCTTTCCTTCTATTACATCCTTCAAAAGACTGTTGACTGTTGACTCCTTTTTAGGTAGAGTAAAGCAATTAAAAAGTATTACACTGCGGAAAGGTTATCATCACCATCATCAATATAATTATCATTATCATTCACTATCTCTATCATCATCATCATCATCACCATCCGTCTTCATGTTTACCATCCATCATAATCTATCACATTATTATCGCCCATCATCATCAGTATCCACCATCATCCATCAACATCATCTACATATCATCATTATCCACCATCCTCTTTATTGTTGCTATTTATCTCAAAAGGAATAATAACAGAATTAATCAATCATTGTTTATTTTTCCTTTTTCAGAAATTCATTGGAAATTCCGATAGTGACAGTGTGAAATCAAACGACATTAATCCGCCTATTTATGCACGCTATATACGTTTTAATCCAACTATAAAGAAGTCCTACTTTTCAATGCGTGTGGAATTGTATGGCTGCCTTGCAGGTAAGTGCTACACCCATTTACGATCTTGTCCCAATTTTTAAAGTTATTTAAAGTCAGGCTTCCTGAGGGAAAAAATGATTGATATGTTGTGCAACTGATTTTTTGAAGAGACAAAAAGCATATTGACAAAAAACGGGTAATGAGATACATATTTTTGAATATTTAAAAAGGGTAAAGAAGGAAACAGGGTAGTTACACCCCCTTTTCTGTGGTTTTTAGATATTCAAAAATCTGTATCTCATCCATTCCCAAGTATTTAGTCAAATACTGTATGCTGTTTGTGTCATTTTGAAAAATCAAAAATTGTTTTTCCTCCTGGGCCTGGATTAAAAAAAAATTATTGATATAAAATTATATGCATCAAATTTTTCAGATTCAAGTGTTGCGATGTTTGAGGGTTCTAACTATATTTCATATAATGTTGAGAAGCCAAGGTATCACATAGTCGAGACTGAATGGAACGTAACGTTTCGTTTCCGTACCACCGAAGCGAACGGAGTGATCATGGCCGGTTATGGAACACAGGGCGACTACCTGGTCTTTCAGCTTATCCAAGGACAACTCATGATTAATGTTAACTTAGGTATGTATTATTATTAATGTTAACTTTGTATTATTATAAATTTATTTACTTGTACGTATATAAAAAAGAACCATTTTTTGACAATGAAGTTTTGTTCATACTATCAAATTTTATGTGATAAATAAGTGTGAAATGCCCATATTTGTGTATAATATGACATCATCATGCCTATATATGGGTAATCACACAGATTGGCCACATAAAAATAGTGTGGACAGCTTAGAACCTACCTACAGTATTGAGCTATTTTTAGCTGCTACTGAATTTACTTGCATGATTGAGTATACTACTGTATTTACATATTCATCTTGTAACAAGATGCATGTTTGACATTTACATTTTTTCGTTATGCTTTCCTTCGATGCTTATTAATAATTTTTTCCAATTCTCGTGTCTGCGTTTTAATTCGTCTTAGCTGCAAAGATTTCATTTCCTCTGTTTAAAGATCATGGTCAATATTTCATCCCCATTAACATTTTATAAATGTGGCATTGTTGGCAAGCACATTTGACAAACAAGAATATTAAAATATTACTCTTTAAATTTCTTTCAATTGTTTTTGTTGTTAAATATGTATACTGCTTTAACAGATTTGATTATTTGTTTGTTAATAGTTAGTTATTGTGTATTTCAGTTTTATTTATTGTTTTATTATTTTTCAGATGTTTATCATTTATATAGTGCCCATTCTTTGGATCTGAATCACTTTTTCTCTTGATCATCTGAATACAGACAGAATCAGGCTCTACCATTTCATTCCAAATCTGTTACCTTGAACTTGGTCTAAAACTCATGACCTAGAACCTTGTCCCTATTTGGATTCTACCAACTAAGCTACAGTATAAAGCCAAGTTGGTGTACTGTTGTTTTCCTATTAGGGATGTTTTTCCATTTGGGAATGTGACATTTTCTAATTAATGACATTTCCTCACCAGGGACATTTTTGCATAAAGACCTTTTTCTTACCTACAGGTACATTTCCTAATCAGGGATATTTTTTTGACCTGGCACATTTTTTGAAAATTTTCTCACTAGGGACATTTTCTAATCAGAAACATTTGTCCATGAGTAATTTTTTCCCATTAGGGACTGACATTTTTTTAATTAATGACATTTTGTCACCATGGACATTTTCTCACCAGGGACATTTTCGCACAAGGGACTTTTCTTTTTTCACCTGCATGGACATTTTCTCACCTGGCAGATTTTTTTAATCAGTTGAAATTTTCCATTTTCATTAGAGCCATTTTCTCAATTATTGAACTATATATTTAAGACAAAAAAATGAGGGCATTGCTTACAAAATGTTAAATCCTGTTTTTGTTGTAGGGAGCACAGATGATGTTTCAGGCGATAGCAGGTTCGTTATTGGTGGCCTGCTGGATGATAACCAGTGGCATTATGTTGTGTATTACCGCAAGAGGAGGGCGGTCCGAGTCAGCATTGACTCTATTCACATGCAGGGCTACACTAAAGGCAGCTTTTCGCGAATTGATCTTGATAGAGAGGTTGGTATCTTTTTTAATGCTCTTTTTTGTATATATTTCACAAGCAAGTACAGTTGAACTTGCCTAAGTCAAATCCAAAATGGCATTGAAGAATTGTTCATCAAATCATTAACTAATTTAAAACAGAACAATTTGGCATGTAAAATAATATCGACTTTGAAATTATTAGAGTTAGGCGAAGTCAACTTGGCAAGTTTAACACTCTGACCTCCAGGGGTTCGAAAAAATATCAGCCACCGCCAGACTTTTTGGTGAATTTTAACTTTTTTCCGAACCTTGTACAGTAGACAGTGTGTATGTGATCAGATTGACATGTAATAAATACTACAAGAATTATACATCTTCTACCCAATTCACACGTACAAAAATCTTACCAAATGTAACCAAATTAACATTTTACGGCACGTGTGAAAGTACCTCCGTGTAATATCCTTGTAGAATTTTGGAACGTCTTGGTAATCTTTACCAGCCTCAGCGAGGCTGGTAAAGAT